GGCGGGGGGGGGGGAATCCCAGATCAGCAGAGAGCAAGAAAACAAACCTGGACTGGAAGATAAAGAATCAGATCCAGTTAAGTGAAGTAACATAGACTCAGAAAAAAAATCGACATATGTTCTCCCTCATATGTGTCTCCTGTATTCATATGGGGATATCTTTCCTTAATTTCAGGAAATTCTCTTCTACAATCCTGTTTAAGATCTGGTCAACACCATTAACCAGAAATTCTTCTCCTTCCTCTATTTCTATAATACATAGATTTGGTCTTTTCATGGTATCCCACAGCTCTTGAATATTCCATTCCTGTTTTTTTTTTCATTTTCCATACTATTTGCTTGAGTGGTCCAATTCTTCAACTTTATCCTCCAGTGTTGATATTCTGTTTTCCATTTCATTCATTCTAGCAGTGAGGCTTTCTCCTGTTGTTTCAAGTTGGCTTATTGAGCTTTGCACTTCCTTCTTCATTTCTGCCTGAGTTTTCTTCAATGTTTCTATCTCTTTTGTGAATTCATTCAGAAGTTTATCCCTTATCTTCTTTTAGCTCTTTCATTTGTTCATTCATGTGTTCTTTAAATTTGTTGAATTCCTTTATCATATTTATGATTGATCTTTTAAATTCAGTGTCCTGTGTTATCTCTAGGGGGTTCTCCTTGTAGAACTCTTTTACAGGATTGGTGGGGTTTCATTGGGGTTTTGGCATGTGAATTTCTTTTGTTATTTGTGATTCTGGTAAGAGAATTAAGTTGAAGTATACTTCTGTTTGTACTATCAGGGTGCCTAGATCCTTTATTGGTTATGTAAAGCTGGTTGGTACAGGGTTCAGGTTCTCTCAGGTTTATTTTAGAGGGAACTGATGGCTTCAGATCAACTATTCAGGGGGTACCCACAGAAGCCTAATTCAGGTTCCAGTCAGGTACACTCAGGCTTCCTTCACCATGTGGAGGCAGGATCCAGGGGCTGTCAGGCTGTCCCCTGGGTTCCCAGGCCCTCTGGTAGTTGGAGGCTAGAGGGAGGCCAGAACCCAGCACTCTCTGGTGGTCTGCTTTGGCATTCTCTGGTGGTCTGCTAAGCTCCCAGCTGCTACCCAGATGGAGGTCCAAACCCACCCTCTCAGGCTGTCCATTATTGAAAGTTTTTAGCCACTGATGTTTTTTTCCTGTTTGACTTGCTGTCACATGGTCAGCTTTTATTCCTTTAATATTACTTAAAAGGTTCATAAGGAAGGAGTTGACACCAAAAATAGCCAAGTGTTCACTCTATCATTTTGAAACAGAAATCAGATGCTAACTTTTGAAATAAGAGTTCCTTTAAAAAAAATTCTCCTTGTCCTAGTTAACTTTCTATTACTGTGATAAAACACTCTCGCCAAAACCAACTTGGGAGGAAAGGGTTTATTGCATCTTACTCTTCCATATCACAGTCCATTATTTGGGGAATCCAGGGCAGGAGTTCAAGGCAGGAACCTGGAGTCAGGAACTGAAGCAGACCATGGAGGAAAACCACTTATTGGCTTGCTCCTCTGACCTGTGCTCAGCCTGCTTTCTTATACAACCCAGGACCACCTGCCCAGGGGTGACATCACCCACATCCCTTAACAATCAAGAAAAGCCTCACAGACATGACCACAGGCCAATCTGATAGAGGAAACTCCCCAGTTGAAGTTCGCTCTCCCCAAACATGACCTCCCTATCTCAATTCTTTTAGGGCCCTCAATACTCAGAACTTTTTAAATAAAAAGGTGTAATTCTAGGGGCTGGGCAGATGGCTCAGTAGGTAGAGTACTTGTCATTAAAGCATCAGGACAAGAGTTTCAGATCCCTAGAACCTGTGCAAATGCCAGACATGATTCTGCATGTCTGTAATCACAGCACTCAGGAGGCAGATACAGGGAGCCCCTAGAGTAAGCTGGCTAGATTAGCCAAATATGTAAGCTCTGGGTTCAAGTGAGAGACCTTACCTCAAAATATAAGGTGGGAGGTGATCAAGGAAGACAGCTGGCATCAACCTCTTGTCTCCACATGTGTCTACACATGCACCTGCACCTACACACATGTGAACATGCATAGATATTCTGCACACGCACCACACCCACATATGTGCCCCAAAACCTAGAACTCTGGACTCTGGGGGTGGGAATGCAGGTCACTTGGTAGAGTGCTTGCCTAGGATACAGGAAGACCTAGGTTCAATCTCCAGCACTACATAAACCAGGAGTGGTGGCATATGACTGTAATCTCAGCACTTGAGAGATAGAGGCAGGAGGAGAATTAGTTCAAGTTCACCTCGGCTACACAGTAAGTTTGAGGCTGATCCGAGAAACATGTGACCTTACCTGCAAAAACAAATCACCCAAAGGCTAATGTGACTGCTGATGCTTCACTGGTCCTCACTGTGTGTGTCATTTTCCACAGAAGTGATTGCTACAGTTCAGTTCTGCTGCCTGTAGATGTCCCTGCCCCTCTGAACGCCCTACCGGAGGAAGACAGACTGGAAACTACTGAGCGGTATTTTTTCTATTTTCTTTTTGCCTTTGATTTCTAATGTGGTGTGTTTTCCAAAACCATGTGAGGTGCCATAAGGGGTTCTGGAAGGGTGCACAGCACCTGAGTTTCCACCCCAAAGTCGAAGATAAGGCTGATTGACACCTAACTGCACAACCACTGAGAAGAGATGCCCCTGGCAGAGAACAGACCAGCTCTGAAGTCTCAAATATACTGAGGGGCTGGGGACACGGCTCAGTTGAGTTGACAAAGTGCTTGCTGTGCAAGCATGAGGACCCAAGTTCAGATCCCCAGCATGCACATAAAAAGCTGGTCGAGGCATTACACACCTTTAGCTCCAATACCGAGGGGACAGAGACAGGCAGATCCTTGGGGCTCCCTGGCCAGCTAATCTAGCTGAATCAGAGAGCCCCAGGTTCAGTGAGAAATGCTGTCTCAAAAAAAAATTGGCAAAGAGGAATGGAGGAAGATATCCACCCAACTTTGACCTCTAGACTCTGTGTACATGCACATGGACACATACATATACCACACACACACACACACACACACACACACACACACACATGCACAAATATGAGCTAGAAGCAAAAAGCTTGCATTTCATTTATTTTACTAATCAGCAACCAACAGCTAGTAAATATATGTCCTTAAATCCAGCTAGAGAGCCCACAATAGGCACAAGTTACTTAGCGTGTACACTAAGTACTTAGTGTATGCACATGCACATATAATTACACATGCATGTCGGGCAGAGGTCTATCTCCAGTGTCTTCAGTCATTCTCTACCTTGTTAATTTGTTTGTTTTGCTTTGTTTGAGAAAGGGTGTCTCGCTGGCATGGAGCTCACCTATTGGGCCACACTGACTGGCTACCTGTCCCTTGTCCCCATGGCACTGGGATTATACGTGTGCACCACCATGCCTTGGTTTCTGAGGACTGAATTCAGGTCCTGATGCTTACACAGCCAGCTCTTTGTAAACAGCATCTCCCCAGCCCACATTTTCCTTCTTAATCAATCAAACTTAACTAGTCTAAGTTATACCATAAGTTAATGATGAAGCAAAGAAATCCTAATAACTCCATCACTGATAACCATCCATCAGTGTCATGGGTAGACTAGGATCCATGCCATCTTGCTCAGTGATCACAGGAAATGACTTATCCTTTGCCAGGTGCAATATCCCTCACCCAGTACATACCCCAAAATAATCACCTGTGACAAACTTTTTCTACTTCTTTCCCTTATCAACACATACTATATTGGTAGTTTTAGCACATTTTCCATGAAAATGAAAAAAAACCTAAATATTCAAAGCATATATCCAGTTCTTCTGACACCTACATGCTCTGAGAGTTGGCATTACTTGGGCATGTAAGATCTGCAAAGAAAGGCTGAAGAGCATTCTACCCAAACACTACACAAGACCCTTTAATTTGTTATAATTTTTAAAATTATATTTGTATATATATATGCACTCATATGTGTGTGTGCATAGGCTTTCCCCAGGCATGCATATGGAGGTCAAAGGACAACTTGGAAGAATCAATTCTCTCTACCCTGGAGGTCCCAGGGATTGAACTCATGTGTCATCAGGCTTGGTAGCAAGCACCTTTACCCACTGAGTCATCTCGCTGGCCCAGGCACAGGACACTTTCTTGGGCATGCTACAGGCATGGTAGAATGGTCCCTATTTTCTTCAGGTTGAGAATGAGTCCTGTCCACAGGAGGAGTCAGCAGATCCAACACTGATGTGAATACACTGTTGTGACTCAGTTTCCTTATCTTTGAAATAGTACCCACCTTATTGAGGAATATCAGAATTAAATGATTAAATATGATGCTGAGGAGGAAGATGGTAGTTGGGATAACTAACATTTACCAAACATGAAATGTGCACCAGACAGTGTCTGACAAGCAGTCTCATGCAAGACCTCTAATGAAGTCTTACTAATATGTCCCCTCTTGGAGATGAGGGAGCCACTAATGGGAGGATAATGTTTGCTTGCAGAATCACCAGTGTAATAACTTGTAGTCAGTAGCTGGTTGATAAATGTTAACTCTCAGCTATATGGACTGTAACAGCTTTTTGCAGGTTTCAAGAGTATTTCTTGACTGGAGAGGTGGCTCAGTGGTTAAGAGCACTGGCTGCTCTTGCAAAGGACCCAGGCTCAGTTCCCAGCACCCATATGTCACCTAACAACCGTCTGTAACTCCAGTTCCAGGGATCCAAGGCCCTCTTTCTGCCTGTGTGGGCATTGCATACACTAGTTCACTTACATACATGCAGGCAAAACATTTATACATATATGTGTATATGTATGTATATGCATATATAAAATAAAAATAGATTAAAAAATAAAGAGTATTTTCTTCTGTGTGTGGGACAGTGGTTGCACATGTGTAGAAAAACCAGAAGTTAACCTGAGGTACTCTCAGTCACTATCCACCTTCTAATTTTTTTTAGACAGGGTCTCTTACTGAACCTGGAACTTGCCAAGTAGGCTAGTTGTCTGGCCGGTATGCCCCAGGGATTCACGTCTCACCTCCCAAACACTGGGATTACAAGCATATGGCACCATGCGTGGCTTTTTACATGGGTGCTGGGGATGAATTCAGATCCTCATGCTTGCCCAGAAAGCGCTTTCCTCACTCAGCCACCTCCCTACCCTTCAGGGCTACTTTTCCTAACGGGAAATTGTCATGGCCATCTCTGTTTATGTGTGGCAACTGGATAAATTGTTCCTGTTTGTAATTCCAAGCTTTGAAGCTATTGCTGCCTTTATTGTTCTTGTCAATATTCACTTTGATGTGGAGGGAACAGCTATTTCCCAAAATGTCACTGAATCTTCTTCAAGGTCATAGAGTTTTTGAAACTAGAGATTAAATTTCGCAGCCTCCCTTACAGTCATGTCCTCTGTTTGACTAGGCCTTTGCCAACAGGACATTAGCAGGTAAGATGTATGCTACTTAGAAAGCTACTTAATGAGCTAAGTGTGTCTCCTCTACACTTTCTGCAGCTGAAATCCAAGTAGGTACTGATCCAGTTTAAGCAGCAAATAGCAGGTCCCAGGTCAGCCAACAACCACCCACAGGCAAATCTGGCTTACCACCTGCACCTATAAAAAGTAGCCACAACTCTTCATTTATGTATTTTTCATGATTCCTGTGATGGTTAACCTTAGTTATGAACTTAACAGGATCTAAAGTTATAAAAGAGACAAACTTCTAGGCATATATGTGAGGGAATTTCCAGATTGTGTTAACTGAGGTGAGAAGACCCACCCTAAATATAGGCAGCACCATTCCTTGGGCTGGGATCATGGGCTGAATAAAAGGAGAAAGCAGACTGAGCACCAGCATGCATCCCTCTGCTTCCTGACTGTAGATGCAATGTGACCAGCTTCCATGCCTTCCCCACCACGATAGACTGTACCCTCAAACTGTGAAGCACGTTAAACCCTTTCTTCCTTAAGATACTTTTGTCAGACTTTTTGTCCCAGTCATGCATAAAGTTACTAAGAAAATACTTTCACCCCATATAGCAAAGTTAAATAGTTACAACAGATCCATGACCCACAAAGTCTTCATAGGAAATTTTTCTGACTTACTCAGACTTATTCATTTCTGTTACTTAGACTTATTCATTACCATGGCAAAATACCTGACAAGATCAACTTAAAGGTACAAGGATTTATTTAGATGTTTGAATCCATGGTTGGCTAGATCCATTCTTTTGTACCCGGGATAAGACAGAAACACCATGGTGGCAGGAGCACGTGGCAAAGGTTGCTCACTTCATGGTGACCAGGAAACAGAGAGAAGAGAAACAGGAGATGGCTGAGAAATCATACGTCCTACAGTCATGCCAACAATGACCTGCTTCAACCAACCAGGTCCCATCTCCTACCTCTTCCCATCAATGCCATCAAATTATGGATCATCAATGGATTAATCCATTCATTAAGGCAGAACCCTCAGGATCCAATCACTTCAAAAACCCCTGCCACTGAACAATGCTGCATTGGGATCCAAGCCTTCAACATGGAGGCTTTCAGGAAGACATTTCATATTCAAACTATAACGCTTGCAGTCTAGGATAAACAACTAAAGGATACAAATAACTAGATCAGACTAGTGTCATGGCTCAGTGGGCAAAGCACTTGTGGGGCAGGTGTGGCAATCTGAGTTTGGATCCCCAGAACCCACATAAAAGCTGGATGTAGTAGTGAGTGTCTGTAACTCCAGCGTTCCTAATGCAAGATGGGAGGCAAAGACAGAAGAGTCCCCAGAAGCTCAGAGGCCGGCTAGGGTGAGAATACAATGGGAAAAAAATGAGCAACCCTGCCTCAAACAAGGTGGAAGGTGAGGACCAACACCCAAGATTATCTCTGACCTGCACACACCCACCATGGAACATATGTACCCACACTTAACACACAAACATGCATGCACACCCATAATAACATGGATATATATATAAACTAGATCCCTTAAATTTCTTTCATTAAAGATTGTCTAAAAATGCACTATTGGTGAGGTGTCTCAAGCTCAGAAAGACAAAAACTGCACTTTCTCCCTTATATGCAGATCTTAGCCTGTAATTATACATATATATGTAAACAGGTATAAACGTGGGTAAAATGGAAAAATCTTGAAAGGAGATTGAGAGGGTCATAATAAGTAACGAGAAGGATGCAGGTGGGCTAAAGGACACGTGGGTCATGAAAGGAAATAATGTTGGGGGAGGCTTCAAGGAGGAAATGAGGGACAGGGAGGTAGGAAAGTCGGCGGGGGAGAACCACAAAAAACGCTTTGTTCAAAAATGTCATAATGGTCCTTAACACATCATATGCTGATTTTTAAAGATAAAGATTTCTTTTGAAAAGAAATATGCTGCTTGATTTTATAGCGGCTGTGGCCTTTCTGGTTATTCTTTGCTTTTGAGTTCTATTCTAATCCCAGTGTGCCCAGAGAACATAATCAGAATGAATCCAATCTTTTGAAATCATTGAGCTTTCTTTGTGGCCTGAGACATGGTCCATTTTGATAAATGTTCCAGGTGCACTTGAAAGTACTATGAAACCCATGACCCCATTTTTAAAAATGCTTTCTATCCCCTGGTTATAAATAACTACTCCCAGCACTGTTTGCTGATGGAAAGCCATCCATCCACCCTCTGCTTCTCTGAACATAGACTCAACAAAAGTAGCTGGAAAAACATTGGAAGCCACAAGGAATGAGTGGCTTCTAAATGGTCCCAATAGCTCAGTCTGTTTTTATGCTAAGGAAGATCTATTCCCACTAAACCTTTTATTCCCTTTCAGAGAGCTCTGTGAGCAGAGCATAGAAGTCCTGCTAACTCCAGAAATGATCCAAGTGGAGTTCCCCATGAGCAACAAAGAAGCCAAGAAGGAGAAGTAAGTGGGTGTTCTCACGCCTTGCTATAAGAGGTAGCCTTGGATAAGATATGTCCTCAGTGAAGTCCGGAACTGTCACAATGTCTGAATCTAAGTATGTCAAGCTTTGAAAGAGACACACTTCCAACACTTCAAATATTTAAATATATACCATAATTTATGCACAATTATCTCCTTCAAATTTTTTTTTAGGAAGAAGACCTTTAAAAATTGAGTCCAGTGCTGGGGAGATGGGTCAGTCAGTAAAGTGCTTGCTGAGCAAGTGGGAGAACCTAGATTTGATCCCCTAGAACCCATTTTTTTTTAAAGCCAGATGTGATGGCACGAGCCTGTAATCCCAGCATTGGGGAGGCAGAGACAGGAGAATCTGTGGGGCTTGCAGGCCAGCCAGCCTAGCTCCAGGTTCAGTGAGAGACCTGGGCTCAAAAAGTAAGTGGTGGCACACACCTTTAATCCCAGCACTTAGGAGGCAGAGGCAGGCGGATCTCTGTGAGTTCAAAGCCAGCCTGGTCTACATAGTGAGTTCCAGGACAGCTGGGGCTACAGGGAGACCCTGTCTCAAAAAAACAAACAAACAAAAAAGTAAGTGGAAAGCTATTGAGGAAGACAAAGTCTTCACACACACACACACACACACACACACACACACACACTCAATGCGATGCAAAAACAGCTCTTTGTGATTGCATATTGAGAAGCATCTTGGAAGGATCTCTGTTTTCTCATTTCACCTTCACAGTGGCTGACAGAATTACCACAGTGGGAGGTAGAAAACTGCCATTCAGGTAATTTACCCATATAGGAACCTGTACTGTAGCTGAGACCAAAGCCAGGTTTGAGTCACTTGCACACTAAAGGCTCTCACTGGCTAGTAAGTTGCCACTAAATATAATTAAACCTTATTTCTATATTAAAATGAAATCTTCACTGGAAGTGCAGATCATCAGTGAGTGAGTTGCATGTTTTTTTATTTTATTTTACTTGGTGTGGATGTGAGTGTGGATGATCATGCCATGGTGCATGTGTGGAGGTCAGAGGGTAACATTCAGGATTAACAGCAAATGCCTTTACTGGCTGAGCTGTCTCATCAGCCCCACTTGCTTATCTTATTGTGTTTTTCAATATTCAGGGATGTCAAAGACCCAATCCAGCCAGCAGGGAAGATGGGAGAAAAGGTGCTTGAGGAGATGAAGAATCTGCGGAACAAGGCTCTCAACACATACTTGATTCTAGAGTAAAAACCACAGTGGGTCAGTTGCCTTTGTTTGCCTTTGCACATCACTGGGGCCCTCTGAATCCATTTACATTCCAACCACTTTTAGAATTAAACTTTGTAGAGACAAAAAAATGAAAATGTAGGTGCTTTGTTTTTAAATTATAGTTTGTATTTTTGAAAATGTAAGTCTGTCATTATTATGACAGTGGTGTTGGGAGAGTCTTAAGTGCGAGATTTCATGGTGGAACAAAGCCTTCCTGAGCAAGCAAGAGCCTCTAGAGGTGACAAGAGACCAACAGCCAGGCGCTGCAGAGATGGTTCAGCTGGTAAAGTGACCATGTGAAAAACGGGGCGTGGTGGTGCACACTTTGTAATCCCAGTGCTGGGAGTGAGCAGAGACTGCCAGATCTCAGGTGGTCACTGGCCAGTCCCTCTAGCCTACTCGGTGAATTCCAGCCCAATGAAAGACCTTGTCTCAAAAAATAAGGTGGACCACATACTAAGAAATTACATTCAAGATGTCCCCTGGCCTACACATACATACACGCACATGCTTGCTCACACAAATGCATTCCTACGTGCGCGCACACACACACACACAGCTAAGAGCTAGGTACTAATAATAACTGCTTCTGGGAGTCTTTGATGGTGTGAGGCCCAGGGGTCAGAGGTCAGATGGACCTGGCAGGGACCTTGTTTCCCACCTCTGCTCAGAACCTTTGGAAGAGCAACATTGGTGGGAACACTGGCTCCCCATAGCTGTGCTGGTGGTGACACTGGCCAGGGACTGGTACTAAAGTAGACATTATGAGGTGACTAGAACTTGCAGACTGGTTTGGGAACAACTGGAAAATATCCCTCTGGGAACTCTCAGCAGCACCTGGGGCAGGAGGCCTGGTAAAGATGCCAGGAACCCTGGTGTTTGTAAAAACAAAACAAAACCCCCAAATCTTTGATTGTGTTTGTCAGTATGACTCCATTCATATGCACAGGCCAGGAAGGTTGATAGTGTTTAGGTTGTATTATACTAACCCATAATTATCCAGTGTGTTTGGATATATTCCTTCCAGTTCCTTTTCTGTATGTATGTATGTATGTATGTTTATGACTTATTAGTCTTGTTGCAAAAAAATATTTGACAAAAGCAACTTAAGGAAGGTAGAATTTATTTTGGCTCACAGTTTCAGAGGACATAGTCCATTATTATGGAGAAAACATGGTAGCAGGGGCAGAAGGCAGCAGGTCACATTGTGTCAGAGAGGGATGAATGGCAGTGCTCAGACCCCTTTCTCCTTTTTACTCAGTCTGGGCCCAGCCCATGGAACTGTGCCATTCACATTTAGAATGGGGCCTCCCACCTCAATGAACTTAATCTAGAGAATCCCTCACAGACATGCCCAGAGATTTGTTTCTATGGTGATTCTAAACACTATCAAGTTGGCAATCAATATTAACCATCAACAATGTGTAATTATAAATTATTGTCAGAGTCTCTCTCTCTCTCTCTCTCTCCTCTCTCTCTCTCTCTCTCTGATATCCCCACACTAGTGTTGATACTAACACTCACTTAGCCCTTTGGGTAGCAGCTGACTGCTGCCAGGAGACATAGGAGACCATCATCGCTGCCATGCCACAGCTCCCTTCAACTGACAGCCACCTTCAGGGCAACCCCTGATTTTTCATCCTGTGGGAGTGGGTGGCCTGTTCAGGTGAACCCAGTTGATAGAGAAAGTTGGCTTCTTCTGGGCTGGGACTGGAACTTGGTTGGTAGAGTGCTTGCCTAATATGCCAATGCCCTGGGTTCCACCCCCAGCATAGCATAAATTGGGCTCTGCATTGTGGCTACCTAGTGCCTGCCACCACAGAGGACGGGTCCAGACTGTGCTTGTCCGGGGGAACTGCTGTCCTCAAATGCAGATTTAACACACCCTGTCTGCTTCATTCAGTAGCTCCCAGCCATCAGTTCCTGAGCCCCAGCTGGTTGCAATGCCCCATCCCTTCTCCTGAGTGCCCAGCATTGCATTCAAGACTGTGTTAGTTTTTTTTTTTCCATCACTGTGACAAAATACATGACAAAATCATCTTAAGTGAGGGAGAGTTTATTTTTATTTGCAGTTCCAGGATGCAGTCCATCATGGCTGCAGGAGCAGGAGGCAGCTGGCCACACTGCATCCTTAATCAGGAAGAAATGAATGGTGGTGCTCAGCTTACTTTCTCCTTTTTATTTAGCCTAGGACCCAACACTTGGAGTGGTGCCACTCACAGTTAAGGTGTATCTTCACACCTCAGTTAATCCAATACTCACAGATATGCACGAAGGTGTGTTTCTATTGTGATTCTGAATCCTAACAAGTTGATCAAGATTAACCACCACAATGACTTTCTGGCTCAAGCCATGTTAAATGACTTTGAACCTGTTCTCACGTCTGTGTGTGTGTGTGTGTGTGTGTGTGTGTGTGTGTGTGTGTCCACCTCAGTTTCCCCGCCTATGAGCAAGCACCAATTTCCTTTGTCTTTCAGCTTTTCCAAAGACCATCCTAACTCTGGCCTCTTGGGATGATTCTATTGATTGTGTTGGAAATCATGTGCCCTCTAGTGGACATTATAAGAAGTGCATCTCTTGATTCCCAGTTTCCAAGTCATCCTCAGAGCCTATCTTCCCTTTTCCAGGTCTCCTGTAGATGGAAAGAGGCAGGGAACAGTCACCTGTATTTTATTCTATAGTCAATCCCATGAAGAAAATTCCCCAGTGTAACCACTGGCATGTGACGTTTGGAGGCTCTCTGGAGTCAGTTACCCAGGTTCCTTGGGGATTATGTGTAGAACCAAGGACTGCTGAGTGACTGAAACATTTCTCTCTGAAGCCATCTCTCTTTTTCTCACACTCATTCAAATTACCACATCATTCCCATTATATTTAACCTAGGGGATCACCCAGCCACTCTTGGCTCTAGCCTCTTGGCTACTGGCAAGCACCCTATGTATGGAGAATCTGTCTGTGAATCTGTAACAGGCTCCCCAGTAGCCCAGACTGCAGGAAAAAACACCAAGTCCCAAACCAGCCACTACTCAGGTTATGCCTACCTGCTGCCCTCTCTTCCTCTCCTCATAGTGGATCCTTGGATCCCTGCTATTATGGGGAAGAAACAGACACCTTACCCAGAGCCTGTCTGTGAGCCGGTCAAAAGACTCCCCAGGTGTCCAGATTCCAGAGAATGACAGGCACCAAGGAAGCTTACAGACCTCAGGTTGCCACACTCAGCGGCATCAGAGGGCTGTGGCATTAACTGAAGGTGCCCTCCTGCACACCTCCCCCACATCCTCTAAGTCACACATTAATAAAAGTCCTTCCTCCCCAGCGAAAGACACCCCTCCCCTTCCACAAAACCCTTAAAATGGAAATCTGCCTCGGTGTCCTCTATCAAATTCAAACCTTATAGTTCCTTCTCTAAGACCCAATGAAGATCTTCAGAGTAACCCACTGCAGTTCTTTCCCTTTAAAAGGGGTCATAACTGCTTCCTTTCCCAAGGACTTTCAGTTAGTGAAGTATTTTATCCATGATCCCTACAACACTGAGACACAGAGTTACTAGAAGTTGAGACTGGAAATGTTGCAGATTTTAGGATTTTAAAATATATGCATATATTTAATGAGATATCATAGGGATAGGATCCACAAGTAGACATAAAATTTGCTCTTGCTGCATATACAGGCAGTCTGAATAGCATACAATATTTTTAGTGCACTTGTGTTTTGAGGCAAAGTCTCTCATCACTTAGGATCAGGTGCTCACTGAATGAAATAATATACAAGGGCTATTGAGAACTATGTGTAGGGCTGGGGAAATAGCTCAGTTGGTAAAGGGCTTGTGACCCAAGCACAAAGACCTGAGTTCAATACCCAGAACCCACATTAAAAAGTCAGGCACGGTAGCATGTGATTACAATCCCAGCATTGGAGAGGTTAAGACAGGTGGCCAACGACTGATCCCATCTCAAAAAACAAGGTAGACAACACCAAAGGAACATCTGGGGTTGCTCTCTAGCTTCTAGGCACACCTACACTTGGACACATACAGATATCAAGAGGCAGATCAGGATGCAACTGTAGTATTCCTATTCATGAGCTGTGCCCTGCCCAGCCAGTCCAGTAGTACATTCCTGCCTTACAAAGCCCCTCTTTTCTAGATAGAACTTAAAGGAGCTTACCTCCAAAGCCCCTTACCTCCAAGATCAGATCTTGGACCTTGGCCAAGGTGGGGACCCAGAAGTCTGATGACATTCTCCCAAAGTGGCGTGTTCCATTTAAACACTCTACAGGTGGTTTTTAAAAGCCATTTGTGATGAGTCGTTGAGGAATCTATTTAAAAGCAAGAACTTGGGGCAGGGGAGATAGCTAGACAGGTAAAGTACTTGCCCAGCAAGTATAAGGACCAGAATTGGGATTCCCAGAGCCCATGTAAAAAGCCTGGTGGGTGTGGTGACCTGCCTATAATCACATCACACAGGAGGTTTATAGACAGGAATCCCCAGAGCAAGCTGGCTAGCTAAACTAGCTGAATTGGCAAACTTTGGGTTCAGTGAGAGACCCTGCCTCTGTAAATAAGCTGGTCAGTGACAAGGAAGATACCTGACATCAACCTCAGGCCTCCCATGTATGCGCACACACACAAGCATGTGCAAAAATTTTTAAAAGCAAGGTATTTAGATGAATATGGAAAGTAGCCAGAGTATCCAGCTACCTCCAGTAACCAACAGTGCATGAGACACTGTTTATAGACATACAAACACACACCCCCATCCCACACCAGCTGCTGATATTTCAACATCTAGAGGCCCAAAAATGTGGGACCTTCTTTGTTAAAGTTTTACTAGAATACGGGGTGGAGCGATGGCTCAGCGGCTAAGAGCACTGAATGTTCTTGCAGAAGACCTGGGTTCAAATCCCAGCACCCACATGGCAGCTAACAACTGTCTATAACTCCAGTTCCAGGGGATCCAACATCTGCTTCTGTCCTCTGTGGGCATTGCCTGACATGGGTGCACTTACCTACATGTAGGCAATACATGCATACACAAATAAAAATAAT